AAAATTAATAACAAATGCAATTATATTTAATAATGATAAAAAAAATTATCATTAAAAAAATATTTTATTATTAAAAAATAATCACAAATAAAAAATAAATTTATAACAATAAAAATCACTACCACACCTTCATGATTGATTGAGATTCTCTGCATGATATGTGGGCCCAACAGGCTCCAAAGTACAAGGTCCAACCATTTTCTTTGTTTTGGTAAGTACAAGGTCACTTGTCTTTTATAATTGTTTACTAGAAGAATTATTAGTTTTACATTTAAACTATAATTAAATTGCAAAGCGTGCAACCAAGATTGAAAAAATAAAAAAAATTACAAAGCAAGAATAATTACATCATGTAACCCTTATTTTCGATTAAAAAAATTAATTTATTAAAATTTATTAATGATTTAATTGCAAATGTCTCGCATAATGTCTCGCATACTAACGGTTTACTATACTAATGATTGAAAATATTGTGATTGTGGCATCACGTAAAAAAAGTATGTAGAGGAGAAGGGAGGGAGTGGAATATGAACTTAATTTACGATAAAAATATATATGGGGATGAAAATGAAAGGTGCATTCCATTCCATTTTGGTCCTACCAAACGTGACTTTAGCATGTTGGCCAAAAATGGAAAGTGACTTAAGCATAAATTTTATTCCATGCAAAGGAACTTATCACCCAACAAGTTGGGCAATTAACAAATTTTATTTTCTTATTGAACAAAACATGAATTTCAAAAATGTAAAGATTTTAGGGTAGATTCATATCGTATGTATGGAAATGGAACGAATTTCATTTTCATTCAAAATATACCAAAAATCCATATTGGCAAGGAGAAAATTGACAGGCAATATGATTAGAAGACCCTACGCAAGCAAAATGGTGCCTCGGATACAAGATCCTTGTTTCATCTGCCTGCAATTTGCAAGGACCAGAAATAAGGCACCTTCCTTATTTTAAGTTTTGCAGCATTCTAGATAAATATCATATACTCCTACCACTGAACAATTGAATAGGCAAGCAAAATGGTTATCTCACAACTAGCTAATTACAAACAGAAAATTGGCTGTTCTTTTTGTTTGTTGGCACATGGTAAGAGTCATCTCTCATCATCTAAACAGAGATGCTCAATCCAAATTCCAGAACA